TCTGGAGCAATCATGGCATATTTCTCATGACGTCGCACTTCTGATATTGACATGTGTTTAGCAATTTCAACACATTGTTTGCACAATTCCTCCATGTTAAACTCATTAGCTAATACAAGGAAGTCAATAGCCTGGTGAGGAGTCTTTTCTCTCTGTAGCAGATACTTTTCACAGCGTTCTGTGAGTTGCTCCATTTGATACTCTCTTGCCAAGGGAAGAAGGAAGTAACAGTTGTTTTCACCAATTGGTTTTGATGTTGGGTAAATGACAAGCAACAGCTCCTTTATTTCAGAGGCATTCTTTCCTGGAAGAGGAATCTCACTTGCAAATTTTTCTTTGAACTCTGAGGAGAACATTCTTTCAAACACTGGTGACCACATGGATAAAGTACCCTTGTGAACATGGAATTTCTTCTCCTCAACAACAAGGACAGAATCACTAAGATGCCATGGCTCTGTAAAATCAGGCTCAGATCCCTTTTTCTGCATCATTGGGGTTTATCTGAGAAAAAAAAAAAGATTATCAGTTCTTGTTGGCTTTTACAGACTTGTCCTTGTGCTATTTTGACATTGACAATGTATTTCAGGTTCATTGGTAAGTGCAAAAAAGGGCCTTTCAGCTGGGCCCTTGAGATGAATAGACCCCAGGGCTGAGTTGTTCAAAGCTGGGTTAAGATAACCTGGGGTTAGTGTGAAATTTGATCTCAGATCTGAAAGCTTGAAGAGCACATTCAGTTTATTTCTTTTTGACTACAATTTGATAATTAAATGCTCTCAAAACAAAGAGTAAAATTATTCCAAAAGGACTTTTGAACAGAGAAATATAGAAACCTGGATTAAAATTTAACACTGGGTTAGCACCAATCAGCCTTTGAACAACTGGGCCCAGGTTAAGGAATTAGACTCTAACAAAAGTGGGGGGAGGAGGAGGGGAGTTGGGCACTTTGACCAATGTGCTATCCCCTCCCATAGTCTTATTTAACATCCTTTGTTGTCATAATGAAATGTTTGAGTCAGGATGTATGGCCAAAAATCAGAAAAAACCTGTAAATGCTTGTGTGTATATATTATCATATAGAAGGTTCTGTGTAACACCATATATGATTAATGTTACTTGCAGTTACAGTAGCCCTAACACTTGCAATACATATACTTTCGTTTTCTCATCAAAGAGAAACGTTTTGATGAGAGAAAAAAATGTATCAATTTCGTATATTCTTTTTCATATTGCATCGTTTTTGAAAACGGGTGTACATAAAATGAAATTATATTTGAAAGGGGATCGGATGAAAATAGTTTCTGAAGTGAAAACTAACAAACTATCTGTAATCATTTCAGTTCGGATAAGGAGAGAGGCTGCAATTAGATTGTAATAATAAGTGCTGTAGAGGTAACTCCGCTTCAGCAATCAAGGCATAATATTCCAACGGCTAGATCGATAATGCACTGAAGAGAAATAATTTTGATTTCGTTTTCATCTTGGTGTTACACACTTGCTGACTTAGCAAGAAAACTTAAGACCGGCAAAACCACGACCAAAGATGACAACCTTCACGATTGAGTCATTCGCTTCGATGTGACCGTTTAAACGAACTGAATGCCACGGTAGAATGTTATAAATAGTATACTTTATACACCTATTTCGGCTTTTTTAAACTGAGAATTCATTTTCACTCTTACCTGGCAAGAAAATAGATTAGTTCGGCCACATCAGCAGAGTAAACATGCCTCCGTTACTTCGTCACGCGAAATTTTATAGAAGAATAGAATGACGTAATAGATCAGCTGAGATCTGATTCGCTCTAAGGAAACCCTCACAGGAAGTGTGTACAATCCACCGGTAGAGGTGAGGTCCTACTGATAATTAAAGATCAGTCAAAACTAAACAAATGACAAGAGTGTAAGAGGCCTTCAGTTAAATGAATGTGTATCGATCAAAGCCAGCTGAAATCTTCTCAGACTCGTCACGTTACGTCAGAGAACGGCTGCGAAGGCGACTAAGTTAGCTAGCAATAGTAACTATCGAATACACCGGAAGTCAGCGCGTCATTGCTAAAAAGGCTCATTACATCGGTCGCGAAAACAATCAATTTCATGGAAATCAGCAATTTACACAAAAGCTTGGATACAGTGATCTCAAGGATAATTTAGGTATGACGAAAGAAGAATGATCCGCTCGAATTTCAAGGTATGTGCTTCCTGCTTAAAACTTTGAACGTCGTCATGATAGACAACAACAACAAATCAGAAGAAAGAATTTTGCCAGTTCGGCAGGCTATTGGGCAACATTCTCCCTCGACCAAAATTGGCAAACGCAAGTGGAGACTAGTGGAGCTGAATACCTGACATTTAACTGGTTGCACCGGATTTTCATCCTTGCTCAATAATATTTTATTTTCGCCTAGTTGCAGATGATGAAAATTTAGTTCTTAAGCATAAATACATTAGCACACTTGAAAGTGTAATTAACAGTGAATTTGATGACGTCCATACTTAGCTATCTGGAAACAAGCTTTCAATAAATATTGAAAAGTCAAATTGTGTAATTATTCACTCCGTTAAAAATCGAGTCCCAAAAAGGTTACGCTCTTTATCAGTAACCAATTATTAATCCAAGAGAGTTCCGTTAGGTACCATCATGTTTTAGAACCCCTCCTAAGCCTGCTGCTTGGGAATCTCAACCGCCCTTCAACCACAGGGTGTTCATCCACTAACTAAGGTTTGGCAGGACATAAAACTAACTGTCAATTTTGCAACATAGCGGGCATGCTTTTGCAATCCAAACTGATACATATATTCAAATGTTAGCTGGAAGAGTCACATTAACTATCTAGCCATAAAAATCAAAAGAAGTATTGGTATTCTCAAAAAGCTTCGCTAGTTCCTCAACACAAAAACCTTATGGTCCCTGTATCGTACCTTGGTGGAGCCATTCTTAATTTATTGCATAATTGCATGGAGTAATCCCGGCGTATCAGTATTAGAAGTAAATTCTCTAACACTCGTTTGTTTGGTTGATTCTTTTTTAATCTCTTTTCTTCTCAAGTTGTTACAACGGGGACTGACTCCTATCTTATGAGAAAAGTGAGGGACTGTTTATAAAGTGCCACTACAGATGACACTACTAAGCTGTCAATCTTCTTGTATCGTCATCGTTCCATCTCACCGTTTACAAAGTGACACTAACGAAAAGAAACGAGATTGGTAATATAAAAATCATAACTATCCTATTGACGGAATATTATTCACATCTAAAGGGGTATCTTAAGAGAAAATTGCCCTAGAAGACCGTTACATAACAACATCATGATTACAAAAGTTGGAGAAGAAGGGGCGTTCACAAGTACCGCCCCCCCAAGTTGCTACGTGCTAGTCATAATAACTTTCTAATTGCAAAACATGAAGGTGCCCCACGTTTACACCTTTAAGAACGAGAGGTGTCGAAAGTGACCTTTTTCCAGAGAGATTCACTCTTCCTGGACTGACAAATTAACTTAATTAATAACAAAGCTTTCTCAAGACACTATCACGAGTTCTAATTACCGTAGAACTGAGTAACTGTTTCCATATCAACTTCACTATCATAACGAGGAAAACGTGACCAAACTCTACCTTTAAGATAAGGCTTTCAAAAGGAATAAAAAGTAATCAACCTGCCTTTTTTTATAATTCCCTGCAGGAATGGTTAAAAGTAATATAATATTTCCTTTCCTTTCCCCGACACCAATATAAGGAAACCCTTACGATATTTCAGATTAAATATAGCCCCTTTTTTATCGTTTAACTTCAGTCAATATTGCAACCCTTACTTAATTTACAGAGGAAAGCCATGAGAACAGTTACCTTCATCTGCTTTAACTAATGAGAACTCAAGTCCTTTTTTGAAAGACTTTATCAAGCTGTCTAATACAATTACCCTTCAACTTGTAGTGTTATGTACCTAAGTTTCACAGCCAACTTTTACTTTCGGTCTTTGATCCTTTTTTAATCAGGTTTGGAATATGAATAGCTATAACACTAGGTTCTCCTGCAAAATGACGTATGCTATCCTGAAAGCCAGAACGCATTATGAAAGTTTAAACGTAAGGTTACTGGGTGCTAAAGAGAGAGAGATGCGCATGAATGATCACCAACTAAAGAAGCTCTACATTGCTAACCAAATTCTCCTCGTCAGCACCTTAACAAACATATAGAGAACAGTATGGAAAATATGCATGCTGATGTTACGGTGTAAAGGCTGAACCAAGTTGTTTTTTAAAAGTATATGTCAATACGGAAGACAAGAAAGGACAATACGTTTTGAGAACTCTCGTCTCGAGTTCGAATAGCTTTCTTTAATTCTTCCGACCTCTCCTTGTGTTTAAGTGTTTTATCAATTTTATCAACTGATTTGATAACGTATATTGGCCACCGTAAAAAGTTTCTAAAGCGAACGTTTCGAGCGTTAGCCCTTCGTCAGAGCGAAGAGAGGAATTGTAAGTTGTGTGTCTTTCACACAAAAAGATGGAGCTACGCTATTTGTGAGAACATGGTAACGTGAAAACAAAAGAATACATAAGTCGAATGAAAAGTGTTCCTTGATACCGTGGGCACAGGCAGACCACACTTTGTGTTCGTGGTTAAAAATTGTTGACATGAGACTAACAAAATCTATGAGGTTTATGAATAATGCTCTGAAAATTGCATATTTCGGTTTGAATATCTCAATAAAGTTAAATAAAATGCTAATCCGCGCATTTATGGTATTTTTCCGCCCTCATGAGCCGCTTGAAGTGTCTCCTTACGAAATTACTTTTGGCCGGAGGCCGCGAAGAGGAGAGAGGGAAAGGTCTCCTTTTCTTCCAATACAGGCGTGTGTGCAGATCTCGTTCCGATAAGAAAGAGACGTTGATTAAAATGCGTCGTCAAATAAACTTATCTTGTTAAACATCTCGGCGTAAAAGAGTAACCTCCCACTCTGCTCGATGGTAAAAGTTATAAAATTAAATGAAATATCCGAAATCTGTGTTTATTAAGCTTTTAAGAAAATGTATACTTTTATAGGATAACAGTTTGACTTCTGTGATACCTTGAAAAGGAAATTTCTAAGTCTGTCATGTCACTAAGATTACAACGCTGATTTTCAGTGACAGGCGATCTAAAGAGTAACACAAAATCAGCAGGTGAAAAAGACATTCGCATGGGTCGCATAGCAACTTCAGAGATAAACATGAAGGTACCGGTGTTATTAGATTTACAAAATTCTGTAGCACGAGACAACGTCCAGAGACTTTCCATCAAAAAGCTTTGATATCTTGTACAAATAATTATTTCGGTGGATCTATTAAGCTTGTGGTTATAGGTTCCATGTAAGCACTTTTTGTTTTTTTTCCTTTTCTCTCTACACAGACACTATCTGCTGTGATGCGTAATTATCCCTTTCACTCCCAAGTTCTCATAAGTAATTCTCCTTTCTGTCTCCCTTACAATTCTCATAGTGTTAGTTGGGAGAATTTGGGTTTGGATCAATCAATAGTCCCCTAATTGATATTTTTTCTGTATTCTCCTCACCTGTCTTCCTGATATTGTCTTGATATTGTAAGGAGAAATTCTGTCTTGATCACTCATGGGAGTTAGAGGGTTAATAGATCTCTAAAAGATGACACTATGAATATATTTTGATTTAGAAAAGCACAACTTAGCCAGAGCTTAAGCTACCCACAGCAATGTCTGTAATATAAACAGTTGCAAGCTTCCTTGTAAGAAAGTAATAAATTCCATATAAAAAAGACTGAAAGTGAACGTAGAAATGAGGACAATCAAGAAGACGTGAAAAATACGCGACTGTATCTCGTGTTTCCCTAAAACGTTTTTCGTGCGATCGCTGCATCGTGTGCAATTATTAAAGTAAGAGAGCACAAACGCAGCTTCTTTATTTTTCAAATGAATCCACACTGTTTTGTATTCACCATCGATATCACGCAAGTAAATCACGTGATGGTATCTTGCCACTGGATAGGATACCTAATCATCTCGATTTAAGGTGTCTCCATCCGTCCTTGCAACAACTCTCAGGCTTCCGCATTCCATTATTTTCTCTTGAATAATATCAACTCTTTTCTTCAGGTCTAACACGTCGATGACGGTATACGGGATTCTGTTGCCCTGAAGAACTTCCTCCATCAGGTTTGTGAAGTTTAGCAGGTCCTCCATCTTCGGAACGAGGCGAATGCTATCGGTCTGCAAGCATTCTGGGAAGGGTCGCACTACGAACACTAAGGAAGTCCTATACCTGGAATAAAACATAAGAAGCACTATAATCCGTCAAATATTTTTTTCTCGTAAGCGATTGGTCTGAAAGCGTCACATGACCGGATATGCCCCTGTTATGATCCCGTTTGGCAACGTTCTTTGAATACTACGTATTTCCTCACAGCTCGGCTTGTTTTCAATTGATTCAGCTAATATAATCTGACATCGTAGCCATCACTAGACTCGAGAATCAACTGGCTTATATTTCGATTAATTTTTTGTTGAGATGTACATAGGTGAAAAGCCGTTGGACTGAATCACGCTTCGCAGAAGACATCAGAAGTCTACTAAGCCTGTCTTTTCAACTCTTACATTGCCTGTATACCTGCTGGAACTTCAGTATAATACCCTAATCAGTTGATCCATTTATCTCGTCTTCTGGCTCGAGTTTCCATTTTTATACCTCACAAATGGGCATGTGGGCTTATTGATATTGAAAAATTTAACATCTCCTATAAGAGCACAAATCCAAATACTTTTACGAGACTTGCGCAAATGAACCACAAAAACACTTGATGTTCCCTTTTGAATGACATTCATCGAGCACGAAGTTAAAGGTAACCAGAAACTTTTGGGAATGTCAGCTGACAAACGCAGACCAGGCCACCACGAAAGTCGAGCTCTAAAAATAAAACCTTAAAGACAAAGCCCACGGAGGTATGATCTATCTGTGTGGTGTCTAATGCTCTTAAGCAACTTTTATTGTTATATTAATTGTTTTTGTAGTCTCATAAGACTCCTTCAGAGAAACTTTGAGTGTCGCATAAAAACCCCATGACTGAAGTGTCTTGTTAATGATGAGCCATCAGATGGAAATACTGATTATACTACGATAGGTTTAAAAGGGGAAAGATACTGTCCTTAAAAATTCGGAAAATTGAGATTTGCGTGAACCATATGCTAGAAATTGACGATCGCTCAAGTTCAAGTTTATAGTAACGTCTTTGGAGCAAATCAAGCAAATGTAGAACCTCGAGAGATAATATCTATTGTTTCGACTAGGTGAATCTGTTACAGGTATCAGGAGATTTTATCGTCTGTTATTAAACTATAGCTCGCCTGACTTTAATTAGCTCTAGCAAGTGTAGCGAAACAGCATCTCGTACATCTCAGAGAAAAGCAGACTTTGTTGTCAAAAAGAATGATCGGTTTTGTATATGCAAATGCACTTGAAGCATTGAATAATTTGAGCGTGTAATCTCAGAGTTACCGTATTTATTCGCCTATAAGCCGAGCGATTTTTCCAACAAATTAAACTGAGAACAGGTAAATTCTCGCCAAGGTAGGGGGTTCGGCTTATAGCCGAGTATTTTCGCCAAAAAAAATTTACGGGTGCTTAACAAGATTCGAAATTTGACAACATGAAAAACTGGCCAATCAGAAGCGGTCATTCCCACGGTTTGTGTAAACATTGCAACACGATCTGACAGATATCAGCTGATCGTAATCTCTAGCGATCTAGAATGATCTATGTTTATTCATAACCTACTTTTTGGTTGCATGTTTCCCGAGAGGGAAGCTGTTTTCGGTTTATGTTAATTCATCTCAGTTAACGACACGCGTGGAGTACTTTCAATTTTAGGTTTCGGCTTATAGCCGAATGTTTTGTGTTTATTTTTTATTTCAATGCAACAGCTGCTGACATAGATTTTATAGCCGAGATCGGCTTATTGGCGAATAAATACGGTATTTCTTTTCCGTCTCGATAGATTTTCTCTGAGTCAAAGCATCACTATAAACATGTCAATTAGACAGAACGCGAAGTGATCATCATGTGAACTTTATTTTAGTTATGTAATAATGTGTGTCAACGGTTTATCATATGATGAGCTTTCCGCTTCGTTGGAGAACGCGTAACATCAGGAAATGTCGGACCACCATCGTCAAGAAACTACCATGACAATAAACAAACTTCTTACTTTGAGAATCTTTCATAGTCAAATAGCCTATCAAGCCTTAACTGACTGTTATCAATAAAGAATTTAACTGAATTCTTACTTTTATTTTTGGTATTTTACATGATTGTAAAGCTCACCTGCTTATGCACTCTTGGCTTGACGGCAAACTCAACAGTCTTTTCATGCTATTTTCTCCCAGGTACATCAAAGAATAAACCAATGGATCAATTCCTCGATCTGCTATGTACGGCGTCCCACTTCTCGAATGCTGTTCCTCGACTTTACATTGTGCTTCGAGAATTCTTTCCTGAAGCTCTTCGAACTTCGATGGATTAGTCTTTGGGTCAAAATCTTCTCGTCGAAGATTTAAATCCGTGATCACTTTTCGAGCAACTTCAGCTTCCACATGTAAGTTTAACCGCTTTCCAACTTCGTTCACTAAGGTTGTTTTACCAACACTGTGAGCTCCACAGATGAAGACTCGAAGCATTGTGAACAAGAAATGCAGCAGTTGAAGTATAACTAGTTTCGACTTACTGGTTGTAGCCACAAAGCCGGATTGTTTGAAGAGTCTTTAAATTTTACCACCATTTATCAAGCCATCAAATATCAATCATAAACCGGTATTAATAAACGAAGCACACCTTTATAAATTTGTGCATCGAAAATTAAATCCTATGTGGTTCTATTTTCTCTGTTATTTCCCTGTTATTTTCCCTGATATTTTCCCTTTACGCTTTGGTAAGCAGGTTTGAAAACTGACATTTAATATGCAAAATCGTTAATCAACTCACTCACCACCACCCGGAAGGGCAAAACGCGATAAGGAAGAATTGATGTACCGAGATTTCTTGACTGCCTTTTATCCTATTAATTCTACAATCGCGCACTATTATCAGTAATTTACTCAGATAGAAGATATCAAAACATCAACGATATTGATGTATTCAGGTTCCGAAATCCTCACTTACCCGACCCTCATCTTTAGACTGAAGTCTCAAAACATCACGTGATTTCGGGGAATAGAACACAATCTTATTTCCCGGAAAGACTTGATAATATTTTATCATTTAAAAGATTTAACCGAGTGCGATGAAATAACAGATATCTCGCATCATCTTTTGGGGAATTAATCCTGTGATCGAGTAGTTGTGTTTTGTAGTTTCAGTGATTTCAAGGAACTTTTCAGTAGCCAAAGAACTTCCGCGTATGGGAAACTGCTAACGAATTGAGCCGATTTCATTGCGTTTGATTCCACGCTACGCCAAGGATTTCGTCGGGAATCTTTAACTAGTTTGGTAAGTTAACGTTTACAATATCTGAGCAGTTTTTTCATGCAGCTGGAATAATTTTCCGCTAAAGCGAAACATGCTAAAATTCTGACAAAAGAAAATTTAAAGTTGATTTGGAAAGAGTAAACTCTCTTCAAATGCTCAGTAATGCAAAATCGTCGGTCAAAACGGGGTAATAACATCAGTAACCGTTGATAAATTTTGGTAATTATACCCTGAGTAATGGATCCAAAACAGTGTTGATTATGCAAATGACAAACTTCAATATCATGTCTCAAACTGTTAGCTACTGTTTCTACCTGATTACGTTGATGCCTATCTTCATTGCATGACACCCGTACTGTCGATCGATAGAGACAGTATCTGCTCTATACGGTGTTGCAGACAGGCGAAGCTTAAAATACTGCACACTTTCTTTGAATCAGGAGTTGGCTCAGCTTATTAGAAATCATGGAATTGAAGCAAGTCGGGAAAAGTAAAGATGATGTTCGTCCCTTGATTAACTACCCACGGCGGAAGAAAAGAGGTGTCGCAGATAGTCAATGTATTGCAGTAAAAACCATAACAGTAAATGTTAGCAGACGAGCTCAAGATGACAAGAAATTGGAATGGAAGGATTTCACTTGTGAAGTTGTACATGATACAAAAAACAGCCCTTGCCCTTTGTATCGTGAGTATGATCCTGCCAACTTTCTGGTTGTTCACTTCGGCCCTTCAACGCGGTTTGATGCCGTGTCGAAGTTCCTTACACACGGCGTCATTCTTAGATGTAAAGAGGATTTTACTGAAGAGAGATTTACATTCTTTGGCCACAGTGCCAGTCAGCTCCGAGAAAGAACTTGTGTTCTTTACAACGAGAAGCAAGGTAGTGTGACGGAGATCTTGAGCCGTTTTGGGAACTTTGAGAAAATTCAAGATGTTGCCAAAAGAGCTGCTAGAGTCGGGTTGCTGTTCTCGACTGCAAAGCCTGCGTGCAGTATTCCCGAAGATCAAATAGGCGTTGTGGATGACGTAGAACGAGACAAGTACAATTTTACCGACGGATGTGGTTTTATATCAACTAAATGCGCATTGAAAGTGACTGAGAGTTTGAACCTGGAAACTTTGTATGAAGGCATCAAGTCACCAGCGATACCGTCAGTATTTCAGATCCGCCTGAAGGGATGCAAAGGAGTACTATGCCACAATGATTGCTTGGAAGAGGGAATCCAAATCCGCCCTTCAATGGAGAAATTTGCGTGGAAACTTTCTGGACCCCATCTCCTTGGCATTGTCGACCGGGGCTTCTCAAGGCCGAATGAAATTGGCTCGTTGAACAAACAGTATATCATGCTTTTATCAGCGCTTGGTATTTCCGATGAGGTCTTCTTGAAAAAGCAAGAAGAGTACTTCAAGGAACTTAAAGAGATTACCACAGCCCATGAAGTTGCTTTTAAGTTCTTGTGCGCAAATGAAGAGTTTGAACTGGCAGAGAATTTGTTAAAAACAGGAAAAATAGACACGAAAACTAAGAAACAACTTATAAAATTGCGTAACCGGGTCAGGGAACCTCAACCATCTAAACCGAATCCATTGCACAAAACTAAAAAGTCTGCTGCATTGAAGCTGAAAATTCCCATTGAGAAATCAAGGAATGTTTACGGCATTTGCGATCCATCAGGGCAGTTGAGAGCCACAACGGTCTTCTTTCAGCCAACGATACGAGGAAGCCCCAAGATCTTGACAGAAACACGCGTGGTGGTGGTTAAAAATCCTTGCTATCATCCAGGCGATATCCGGATTTTGCGATGCACCGACATTCCTGAATGCCGTCATCTAGTAGACTGCATTGTTTTTCCAACACAAGGAAGTCGTCCACACCCCGATGAGATTGCTGGAAGTGATCTTGATGGGGACAAATTCTTCGTTTGCTGGGATGAAGAACTCGTTCCGAAAAAAGGAACAGAGCCAAGCCAATATCCTGCAGCTAATTCTGCTAAAAGAACAAATCTCACGCAAGATGATTTTCTGAAGTATTTTGCCAAATACAGCAACGCTGTTGTTGGCAAGCTGGACAATTTGTTTGACAAATGGGCGGATAGTAAAGGAATCAACTCTACAGAATGTAAGATTGTCGCAGCCTTGTTCTCTCGTGCCATTGACGCTGCTAAAACTGGCGAGAGAGTTGAAATCAAGGAACATATTTTGCAAGCTCCGACAAAGGATGGAAAAAATGAAGAATTCGTCTGGCAAAAATTGTACCAAAGGGCAAAATTATTCGAAAGAGACCAGATGATAGAAGATGTAGCGACTGGAAAGGTGGAGGATTTTGAGGAGGAAGACATGCTTGCTTTGTTATCCAACCAAGAGTCACGGCTTAGTGAGTACAGATTGTTTCGGTATCTATACAAGTGGTGCCAGCAACCCAACAAAGAAAGATGCATTGAAGAGTACATTCACCTAATTGACTTCTCCCGGTTTAGTCGGGAACAGTGCAGATGTCTACCAGCAGACATTCCAATGGCGGATCTAGAGTCCCTTCTCAATCCCCTTCACCAATCTCGAATTCTTTCTAGAGACGACATCGGAACTATCAAAGTTAGACGTGGCCACGAGAAGCGCTGGCGTCTTCTGTACAGAACAGAGGGTGAAGAATTGTCTTGGAAGGTACTTCACAATATCCTGATCTCGTTCCTTGAAAAACTGCTCGTATTCAAATTTTTGCTTGGAGATATACAGTGGGTCATTTCTTTGGCGATGTCAGTTCCACTAAACCTTTGTGAAGTGCTGACTCTAGATGAGGAGGAAAACGTCGCTCAGGCCTTTTGTTCAGTACATGTTCAGTCATCAGAGAGACATTTTCTGCAGCTAAATGCCGGCTACAGTTTTGCTTTGGATGGTCGACGACTAGACATCTACACAGGAAAAAAACAGAACACGTTTATCTGTTTAAAGGAAGATGAAAACGATCGTGCACCCATCATGAGTGTGGCTCTTGATCGTTTTAAGTCGAGTTTGCCGCGAGATTTTCAAACTCGACTTCGAAGAGAGAAGTTGCTTGAGTTGGAGGCTTTCTGTGTTTATGATCATTTCGATCCTGGTCACAAGATTCAGAAACTTTCCTCAAAACTATCCGTTGGAAATGCGGACTCACTAGAGGGTGAATCAAACATCCAAACACCTTCTGGAAGTAACGAAAAGCAAGAAGAATTCGTCTACCACAGGAGTAATTTTCCAGACCTTCAGTGTGACCCTGAAGAGTCGGTTAGTGATTTGGACAGAAATATCATAAGAGTTCAAGACCTGTTGGAAAGGGGATGTTTACAAACTAGTCATTTGGAAGAAATGTGCGAAAGAATGACTTCTTCATCTGACGAAAAGGTTTGTAATAGTCGTTTTCTGCATTTCGGCAATATTTGATTTGTAAAGGTGGCGGAAGCAAAGAGTTATAGTACATCCGGCGATAAAAATAGCCCGTTCTTCCCTTTTTATCTGCCATCGTGGCATCAATTGAACGAGGTCTACGTTAAATGACTTGTTTTTCTTGCATGTTGAGCAAGGGGGGGGGGTAGATATATTATCATTTATTGTGTTAAGACTTGACTACCGCTAATTTCATGATCCATGGTAACAAGTTCTTTAAGAAGCCTTGTTTCCTTCTTTGATATTTTGTGCAGGAGAAGCATCACATAGCTTGCCATTTGGAGTCCGTTCTTTGGCGGTCCTCTCCAGATATTTCATTAAGGACACCCGACCATTACAAAAATCTCCTAATCTGTTTGCTTAGCGGGCTACAGGAACTCAATCTTGACGTTGTCCTCGGCGAGAATGTTCACATCACGCTTCTCGCACGATTTAAGCGATGTCTCGAGTCTTTATGGAAGAGACAGGTCATTTTCAGTGTCGATCAAATGTATAAGGTATTCGATGCTGTGCTTCTTGGAAATGACCATTCCACCGGATGCCGCGTTGTTCAAGTCATCTGCAAAGGTAAGTCAGTAACAATGATAACAATGATAAAAGTCACAATCGTACGTCCAGGAATTCTAAAATATGTAAAATAACACACAATTTATCGACACCAAATAGAGAGAAGACTAACGATAAAATCGTAACCAACCGGGGAGCAAAGAGTTTTGTGCTACACCCATGTGATGAAATCCGACAAACATAACAAGAGGTTAACAAAGAAGGGAAAAGATGGTAAATCACATTCTCAATCTACGTTATATCGATTATGTCTGTGCTGCTTTACCATGCAAGAAAGTAATCGACCTAGACGACTTCAAACTTTTTCCGGTGCGGTTAAACCTAAGCATTGTCAGGTCATGAAAGCGAGTTCTTCCGGGAACACCAACAAATGTGCGGGTTTAAAAAATTACTTCTGTGATAGATTTTAATTTGAAAGAAATTGAATCCTTTTAAATTTTGCATGTAGGTCATCTGCCCTTGGAAGGCTTCACTTGCCACCCGAATGCCTTACCGTACTTTCTGCACTGGATTTTCCTGGTAACTTTAGAGTCACTGGAGGAGGTGCAGCAAGCAGTTATAGCATCTCAAGGAGTCTTCTCACGTTACCGTATCACGGCTGAAGCTACTCCATGTAATGAACAAGAACTAAAATTTACAATGGTAATTACAAGAGGTACTCAATCATTCCGTGTGCGAGATGGCGTGGCCCTCAGTCGATCAGATATTTCAAAACGTGAATACATCGGTGAAGTGACAGAAATCTGTGGAACAATACTAACAGTTGACATAGTGTGGCCAACAAGTTCAGATGACTCTTCAAGGGAAAACATTCTTAAAGGAAGGTGGTATCTTTACAAATTTCCTAGTCTTGTTGGATACAGACGCACTTCAGCAGCACTGAAAGCTCTTCAAGGCGCAAAGAAATATGGGCAGAACGTTTTTGAAGGAATTGTCGGCAGTTTCTGTGTTGACGACCTATCAAGTCAAGATTCAAGGAAGCAAGTAGATGAAAACTCTACAACGGAGATTGGTATGTTTTCCAGTATCGGTTTCGTCAAATTATATCTTCCTGTTTCTTTCAAGAGCATGGCAAAATGTGAACTTTTTCCCCTTATTAAAACCAAGATCTTTGCATAATGAAAATTGGTGCTAATGTTATCGATACAACATAGCAAAAGGCAGCGATCTTATCGTGAGCTGGGTCCCTCTCTATCACATCTTAGTGAACTCTCAGTTTCAAATGAAAACTGAAAAAAACTTTCAAGAAAGTAATTCTTGCATGCAGTTAATAGTTGAAGATGTCAAAAACTTTCTCTTTCTCAGGTCCAAGTGTCGTGAGAACAGATGGAGAAACCAGCACTTTTTCATCAGCTTGTTCCTTCTCAAAGTGGTCTGGTAACAAAAGTCAAAATGCAGCTGTTCAGGATGCCACTTGCACTGACGCCTTCATAACCCTTATACAGGGGCCTCCGGGCTCTGGGAAGACCATCACGAGCGCAGAGATTGTGAAACGCTGGCTTCTTAGCAGCCATGACAAAGTTCTTCTTGTAGCTGAGACAAACGAGGGTGTCGACAACCTCTTAAAGAAGCTTTTGGATCATGGCTTACAAAATGAGGAGATTGTTCGCTTTGGAAGCTCAGGGTGGAAAGTGTCCAAGGACATAAATCATTTGACCTTTGAGTTTAAATACTTGCAAATAAAGTCTGGAAAGAAAGACCCCAATGGCCGAATCGACAAAAAAATGGCAAGGAAGATTCTGGAAAGTTGCAAAATTGTTTGCACTACTCTTATAAGTGCAGGGTCGTCCTTACTTGATGAGTTCGTGTTCAAGCGAGTTTTGGTCGATGAGGCCTCACAGGCTACCGAACCAGCAATCCTTGTTCCTCTTTCACATGGCTGCGAGAAGCTTGTATTAGTGGGTAAGTTACTGAGAAGAGATAAGAGAAATCCGCTGTTTTCTCACATAAAGTATTAGGGACGATGCAAACGTAGCTCTTTCTCCCATGTAGTGCCTTAAAACCCACACCCTTATTCAGTTGAATGCAATTTCTTGGAGCCGATATTCCTCTATCCAAAGCTACCGAGCAATTGAAAATCTGAATGCCAAAGAATAACCACTAGTCTCTATTGAAATAACGAAACCAGATTATCACATTAAAACTCTCTCACTGATGGAGAAATCGAGGAGGATAATTTTGTTTCTTGGCGAGGGTAAAAAACAAAGGGAAAGTAAATTGGGGGCGATGCTAATCTCTCTCTCTCTCTATGATTTTTTTAGAAAGTAGTTACTCTCTTCCCCACAAAACCCACTTGAAGAAATGAGTAATGTAACTCTGGCCAGTGATCATCGAACGTTGGCAAACGATACCGAAACAAATCTATCATAAGAGAATAAAGAATGTTTTTCTCAGGGGAGGGGACGTTTGTTGGGAGAAGAGCAATGACTTCTTTAGAGCAGCTTAGTAATAAATGGTTTGATCCGCCTTTTTGCAACAAACAAAATCGAAATGCAAAACGTAATTTGTAGATTCTTTCCAACACATCTGTGTTTATGGTTAAAGTGTTGTAAGCTCAATCTGTTTTATTCCGCATCTTTAAGGAGATGATCAGCAGCTTCCTCCCATGGTGCTAAGCAAGTTTGCTAAAGGTCCAGACCTGCTGACATGTTCCATGTTCTCACGGCTTCGCCAAGTGGGAGTTCCTGTACGCATGCTCAGTATTCAATACAGAATGCACCCATCCATAGCGCGGTTTCCATCATGTCAATTTTATGATGATAAGCTCGAGGATGGTGTGACTGAGTCGGAGAGGAAAGCCCCTGTCGGATTCATATGGCCAAACGAGAAGATGCCTGTAGCACTCCTTAACACGCCACATTCGGCAATGGAAAAGAGCAAGGGGTCGTCCAAGTCCAACGATTTTGAGGCCGGATTAGTGTGTGGAGTGGTCAGTGATCTTCTCGGGGCAGGAGACGTGACTAGTGACGGGATAGGTGTAATTACACCCTACCAAGCGCAGCTTAAGTTGATCTTGGATAAGATGAAACAAAAAAATCTTGGAAATGTCTCAGTCAGAACAGTGGATGGATTCCAGGGACAAGAACGTGACGTTATCGTGTTCTCCGCCGTACGTTGCAACGAGCACGGGTTCATCGGTTTTTTGAATGACGATAAACGAATGAACGTACTTTTGACTCGAGCCCGTAGAGGAATGATAGTGATTGGAAACAAGAAGACCCTTGAACATTGTGAATTATGGAAAGCGTGGATCAACTGGGTTGACGAGAATAAACTAGCTCGTGACTGTCCCCAAGAAAACGTGACAGGTGAATTCTTAGTAATACTCAATCTTACGTCATTCAACTTTTAATGTATTATAGTGGTATAAAATACAAATCGAAAAAGAGGGAAAAAAAAAAGATGAAATACCTGAAGAGAGTGAGAGAGAGTGAGAGTTCATCATTATCAAGCACACTTTCAAGTTCTCACCAGAAGTTATAGATGCGAATTTTCTTGTTCATGATTTAGAGTCACCAAGTCCTACCAAAAGTTCATCAGTGAGAAGAGGAAGAGGAGGCCGCGGTGCTTCACGGCGAGGGCTGGGGAGAGGGAGACGGAGCGGGGCTAAAGAAACATCTAGTGCCAGTTCTCGCTCAGAAAAATCTTAAATTAGGAAAATCTGCAAGGCTATAGTTTGGAGGACAAAGCATAACAAACCACAGAAATAAAAAGGACAGTCCAGTTTTGAAATTTAACATCACTTAACTTCAATGTTTATGCAAGAATACTTTTGGGCAGTTTTTTAAACCTCAAAATAGTAAAATTCTTCAACAGTTACAGTATGTAAATACTTGTAGCTTAGTACACTTAATTAAATTACCTTAATAATATTACTGACCTCTATGCTTACCATATGTCAAGTGGCACTAGTTAAAATATCTTAGAGGATTGTGTGATATGTGGATTATTGTAATTTCTGAATGCCCTTAGTAAACTGGGTCTGTAATTGACATTTAGTATATACTAAATCAGTGGATGGCATTGAAGGCACACTCTTGATTGGGTACTCAAACTAAAAATATCCTTTGTCATTAACCTTCAAGTGACTAACATGGGATTTGCAGCAGAAAATATTGTAATCTTGCAGGAACAAAAATAATTTTTAAGTGCAATATTATCTCACTGATCTAGTATATTCTAAGATAATTGTTCACCTCTATGGCTGTGGCTTGCAGTGGATATTAACCTCGCGGCAACCTAGCTCCACTTTGGTGAATAGTTGTTAATTATTATCTTGATGATAATTGAAGACACACGTGAAAGAGTCTGATCCAAAATTGAGAAACTTTGTAATCATGGAAATTTGATGTAGCCTAGATAAAAATTTTTAAGTACCAGACAGTGACTGAAAGTTGCAATGGTAAATGGACTTTTAAAATGATAATTATCTTTAGTTACGGCAATATAAAACTCCATAACTCTGGTACAGTTTCTGTAACCATTTAGATAACGCAGAGAAAATTTGAACCAGAAATAGTTTAAATTGTTTGCATGTTCATAATGTTTAAACGATTAGTTATATGACCAGTGAAACCCCTATTTTGATAATAATTGGTTAAAATCTTCTCAGACTACTTACAATATTTTAATAAGTATCCTTTTCAGTGGTAATGCATTTTCTCAGTTGCAGAGCTGTAACCCTTTTGATCATCTACACAGATCAAACAAGTTGTGATCTATGCCAGTTTCTAGTGACTGCAGCTTGGCATTTGAAACAGGCCCAATTAAAATACTCAATTTGATTACATTACAAGATACATATGAAATCCTGAGGTAAATCCAGTCATTCTGATTGGCCCTTACTTGGTCAGGATTTTGCCATACCGACAGTTCCTTATTTAAGTTTGGGAAAGCTTGCAAATTGAAAATAAACAAGATTTGTCTGGGTGCCATATAATTATAACTACTTACTAACCTCACTTGCTCAAGCTGTACTGGGGAATATTGGCCCTTAGCCATTTTGGTATGGACCTCAGGCCAATATTCCCTAGTATGGCCCTCACTCTCAGTTATTAAGACGTTTATGAAAAATGAATGCCTCATGTGTAAACCAAAAAGTGTTTTTCTCTTGGAGCAGTATGTCTAATTGCAGCTGGAATCAGTTCTGTGTATCTGAATATTTTTCATTGGTCATGTTTTTTTAAAGGAGGAGGTACTACACAGACAGGAAGGCCACTGTGGTGCACCACATAGTCACTAACACTTCCAAGGATTGTACGTCTAGCTTTGCTCAGTCCACGGCAACCAGTTATAACAAGGTCCACCTTCTGTGTTTTAGCCTCACTGCATATCACATTACCTGCAGGCTTACCAGCAATCAGGATCATCTCATAATGTAACTAAAATAATAAGGATAAAATTGAAGAAAAAAAAATCAACCAAAATGGACCTACAAAACAGTAATAATAAGCTACTCAATTGATTAATGAATAACAGAGATGTTTCTAAAGAAACTGTGGTGCTGCATCAGTGTTGGGCAATAAAAGATAATTTGGTTTTAAAAACTGAATTGATGATGTGAATTGGCCACCATTAGTTCTAAAGCTGATGTTTCAAGAGTGAACCCTTTGTGTTAGCCCTTAATTGTAATCACTATTGGCTGATTTAATTACATTATCAACTCAGTTGATGAGACCAAATTACTCAGTTGGTCAGTCCACTTTGCTGACTAATCAGCTACAATCACCTATGTTTATTATGACTCCCATGATGGGCATTTTAGTCATAAAAATTATAATTTAAACCTCCATCACTGGCCAATCTTGTTGGGCTTAAAATGATAACCTTGAAGAGATAAAAGGGATGACCAACATGCACATATAAAGAACTACACTGTAACTTGCTACCTTAATTGATTTTTCAATGTTGTCACATGTGGATGTAGTGATCTGTAATCACTTCATCATCGCTCCTAAAAGACACCCTCAATTGATAGTTCTCTAAATGTAAAGGAGCTATGTCTTGAACACAAGAGACAAAAGTTTTCTGAATGTAACAACAACCTCCTTTCCCCTTTGGCACACCTGGATCCCCATTTAAATACTTTCAAATAAACTAAGCATGTAATGATTTTGTCCTATCGTTTTGTGTTTTATTTCTCTTTTTCCATGAAATCTGGAAATCTTTCTGTTAACTTGGACAATTTGGTTTTGGACCAAAGAACAACCCTAATTTATATTGGTCTTTATTCTCATCACATGTCTGCTTGATGCTGTATTGATATTGTGAGGATAAATTCTGTCTTGTTCACTCATTGGAGTTTAAAAGAGGGTTGACAATAGATGGACAAAACTGCTCTGTGTTGATTGGGTTTAATAAAAGAATAACAAGTTGTGAGAGCTGGATATTAAAATACCTTTTTCTCTTTACATCTCTCTTCATACCCCAGCATCATCTCTTTTGCCTGTTCTCTAAGACCATTGACCATTTCACTCCATTCCTCATAGTAAGCAAACACAACTGCCATAAAAAATTAACATGTTTGTTCATTGCAAAAAGCTTGATAGTGGTTGATTAAATCCTAAAAGTTGTGCCAATCAATTCAAAGCTCTAAAATCCCTCCTTTTTCTGTGCAACCCACAGTCATATGTCACTGCTTTCCCTGCCTGGGTGTGGTGGGGAATTTGAATTGAAGGTGTTAAGTGTTTAATTAAGGTAAAAAGTTCACCTTTGCAAGCAAATGACTCTGAAGTAAAGATCTACATAATCTAGGTTTTTACTTTTTTATTAATGTTTAGGAGGTCATGGTGCTGATGTTGTTTTCTACAAAAAAAAAATTGGTTGGGGCATTTGAACACAATTTTTGCCCCTAGGGACAGGAATTTGAACAAACTAATCTTAAAAAGTTAAAATGCCCAGGGTGGGAGGTTGCTAAGAGGGAATGTTGAAGCTTCAAATTGGTTGATGCATTACCAGGAACATAATTATTTTGTAGTATACTTTGCAGAAATGTATTGCTTGTACTTTAAAAATGTTTTTTCTACAAAAAAAAAATCAGGCAACAAATGAAATAAACAATTAAAAAAACTTTTTAACTCTTTCACTTCCAGATCTCATTAGTAATTCTCTATACCATCTGCAGTAAAATTCTTATCATGTTAGTTTGGAGAATTTGGTATTGGATCAACCAATAATCCCTCATCACTTCTCTGTCTATTGTGAGGAAGAAATTCTGTCATGATCGTCATGGGGGTTAAAGTGAACAAGTTTCAAGTTTTACAAGTTGCAGTGATACTAATGATGAACCAAATTCAAACACAATCTCCATCATTTCATTTGACATAAGCAAAAAGGTTGTTCTACATGAATTGCCCTTCATTGGTGAAGTTACATGTTACACCTTATTGGTTTTTTTTTTTAATAAAATTTTTTAAATATGTACCACAGTGTTTTGTTTCACTGCTATTGGATGATGCAAACTGGTTTGCAATACACACTCAGATCCTGTTATGAACACAATTTTAAATGTGGTTTAAAAAAACAAATGTGTTGTAACTGTCCAAAATAAAACAGGTGTTATATCACACCCCACCTCAAAACTATGATGATGTTTTCAGGTTGGCCTTTACAGAGAGGTTCAGCTGTGTTTGCTTTGGTCTAAAATTAGGTAGGGCTGTAGCTATTTACGGCTAAGGTTAAGCACACTCTCTGGTGGGTTTCGAGTTGAATTTGATATTTTTCAGAATTATTATTTTGGTGGCTGTTCATGCATAAAATAAGGTGGGGACAATATCTGCTTTTGGCTGAAAAAAGGATGGGGTTGCTGCACTACCCACCTTAATTTTTAACACCCTCCCTTCCCTTCCCTTCCCTGCCTTGGGGGCCCAATAATATTTCCCCTTTCATTTGTGTGCACACCATAAATATGACCTAGTTACCAACCTATACTCTGCATGCCAATAAAAGAGTTTATAATGAACAAAAGTGCTACATTTGAGTATACTCACATGGCCCAGAAGAATATGGAAGAGAAGGAATCTCAAATGCATGTAACACAATCACAGAATCTCCAGCAGAATGAATCTTTTCCATGTACCCTTGAATTAAAATTTCATTATTAAAAATGTATACAATCACCTGTTTGATCTTTGGCAATAATCTTATATATAGAGCTGTAACTATTTGAAAATTATTTTTTTTGTTAGTCCTGAAGACATCACTTTGACTGCCTGGGTCAAAATACTGATGGGCATAAAGGGTTTAAAGAGTAACAGTTATAGTGGTTCTCTAGAGTTAAGGCCGATTTCTAACGAAATCACTTCCAATCACCTTGCCACTCAACTACTCCATCAAAAAAGGTTTTGATTTCATTATATAAGAACATCTACAATTCACACGAGAAAAACACTTCATAATCCAGGCAGTGTTAAACAGGACCCCACATGTATTTCTCCCTGTGGCCAAAAAATTGGTTGGGGAGCCTACTTTAAACTATGTACTCAACAGATTTACTTCAGAATCCTTTCTTCTTGGCCAGACCCATTTTCCTGTCCATAACTTCCCAAAAAAATTGGAGTTTAACTGATGTAAAATCCTCCAGCTGATGAGTTTATCGACTGTTTCAAGCCTGTTTACTATGGTCACCGTAAGGAGAAGTTTAATATTGATCATTTTTGGGTATTTGAGAATTTATTTTTGTGCTGAGTACCCTGATACGTTTTACTGCGTTAGGAGCCTTTCAATGTATGAAAATGCGCTGGAGCAAAATTGTGAAATTCCGTAAGCCAGTTCGCGTTTACCACTTACTAACAAAACGTACAAACGTTGCCTCAGTGGCACTAGGCCAACTTTTAGAGAAGGCCCTCTGTCAGATCCAAAAAGGGCAAAAATGAAATAATGACTCGTTTTCTCGATGGCTACGTATGGCGTTTCTTTTGCACCAAAAAATTCAAAGTTCCTGATTACTTCGAATATTAGAAGGAAGAGTGGAGACTCATTTGAAAATGTGCGTGATCTCGATCACGCAAAGACCTCGTAAGACAGCGTCGAACGTTTAGGACATGACCTTCTCTCAGCAGAGAAATGAAAAAGATACACTTATGAACGCCGTATTTCCACGATATACTTACAGTCGAATGCATGATCACCATGTTCACTTCCATCGACTGCAATGAGAATTTTCCTCGCAGTGCATTCACTTGCTTCAGCTGACATGTTGACTTTCACGTTTGGACGTGGACAAAATGAACTGGTACCTGTCGGAAATTCATCCAGAACCCACGAACAACACGCGTGGGCGCGGGAAGACGCTCGATTCCACACGAAAGTCGCGAGAATCTCTCCTCAGTGAAGCTCATGAAGGGAAGGGAAGGCTTTTTTTTTTTTTTTAATAGTGACGTTTCAAATCAATAATTTTTTTAAATGGTTTAAAAATACTTGTCATTCCTGAACCACGCTCTATATGGGATCACATTGTTTTAAAGGAAATCTGTGCCACTATGTAAGCAATGAGGTGACATACTGGAGTCAATTGAGTGTAAAAAGTGATCTTATGAGGCTTTTCTTTACTCGGTTCTTGGTTTGTAAACTTATGTCAACCTATATGTATAAATCAATCAGAAGCAAAACTAAAATGAAACTCAACTTGATCACTTGCTCGCAGTTTACTTGTTTTTTTAACAGTCATGTGATATTTTCCTTTACTCTGACTGGCTGTGGAGGTAACTTTTAGGTTTGATTTCTGTAATTGATCACTGTTGCTACTTCAAAATGATAGCTGAAAAAAGTTAGAAAATGCAACGAAGAAAAAAAGGTAGAGTATTTGATATTATTCTGTAATTGATGGTTGTTTGGGGTAAACTGTTTTCAGTTCATTCGCTCAACAAGGAAGTGGAACCTTGTACTGTCCTAAGGGATTTTTAATTTCATGCATGTCATGTTTATTTGATTCATAAAACCCACGGGCATTTGTCTGTTGTCTGTGTAACAATGAGTTTAGGTTAAAAAAAGCTCATTTCATTACTCCAACATAAACCATGCAGTTAGTGAAAGCCACAAATAACTGACAACCCTGAATGTGCATATTATTATTAGATCATTACTAGTGCCCTCATTGGGATTAGTTCAAATGCATGTGTACATGTTTGGCACTCCTTAATGCAGCCCGTGAATTTATGCCTGCAAACTTCTAACAGTATTTTGTCGCATTCTGTGCTCCAGGGGGTGGGGAATTTGTTTGTTGCCTGTGTGGGGTAGGAAATTTGAACTGGAGCTGTCATTTCTTTCCAGCGGAAAACACCCCTTCTAAGGGTAAGAGTTTATGTTCAGGAGCAGATGGCTCAGGAGAAAAAGGCTACAAGAAAGTCATGGTCACTGATCTTGCCTTTACAAAAAAATTGACCATCAAATCCTGCACCAGGGTAAGTCATTTGAATGCAATTTCGGCCCAGGTGCTGTGAATTTGAACAAACCTATCTTCAAAACTCAAATTCCTAGAGGGTTGCTTGGGAGGGGGGGGGGGGAGAAAGAAATTTAATGCTTCAAATTGATAGATGCATTAATAACACTCTTGCCACAACAGAATACCTTTCTATCCTTTTAATCTCCACAGAAGATATTGAAAACAGTTAGATTGCAGAAACTTGAGTATATTTAAGTTACTAACAGTGAATCAAAAGTTAAAATTCAAGAAAATAATCAATTTGATGATATTTATAACCCTAAGAAGACTTATTGTTGAAAAAGAAAAAAACAATTGTAGTTTTCTATTTCAAATGCCTTCAGGTTCCTGTGAAATTTTCAATCATTATCTGTTTTGTGCCCCTTTTGCACTTGGAGATCATGAATGATTACCCCTCTCTACAATCAGTGTTACACACTTCACATGAGAGTTGGACTCTTCAAAGGTAAAATATATAATTAATGTGCATGGGCATGGTCACCATGTGAATCTTGAGGTGGAATAACCACCACAGGAATATGGGTATGGTGCACACAGTAGTCACTAACACTACCAAGAAATGTGCGGCGCAGAGTTCCAACACCACGTGAACCAATAAGAATGATATCTGCACCCTCATCTTTTGCCAGCTTACAAATCACTTCCCCAGGTCTGTTACTTTCTTCTTTGTACAACTTGAACTTCAGCTACCAAGATAAAAGCAAATCCCTTACTTTGAAATAAGATGGTTTTATGAGCTGCCAAAGTTAGCAGCAGAGATAATTTCTAAACAACTTGGCTGGCAACATGCAGCAATTAGTCCAAAACTGAGACTAGGGTGCATACATTTCTAGAAAAGCTAGGGTGCATACATTTCTGTGAAAATTGTTCCCATTAGCCTGTGGATAGCATTCAGTCTGCAGCCAGGGAAGACACTTTTAATCATTGCTTTCTAAGACTTCAGTCAGTCTGCTTGATGCCATTTGAGGCCTATGCAACAAAACTTTCCAGTCACCATGTTAACCACTCCTAATTTATGGATTTTCTGGAGAAAAGGATGCTGCAAAAAAAGGCACTGTGACCTGGAAACAAATTATTTTCAGGAGGGCATAGTAACTCTCATCATGGAATTTTCACCCTACATATGCACTTTCAGAATGAAAAGCAAAGAGGAGTACAGTGTTCTATCTTCTAATTTAAGTCCTTATCCAGAGTTTTTTTTTAAATAATAAGCAGATTACTTACCTTCAATGTTGCTTCACCAGCACAATCCTAAGGATTTTTTTTAAATTGACCCTTTATCCAACAGTTCACTAGCGAAATGTATATATAAAAAAATCACAAACCTCGTGGTGGTTACACTTTGCTCCAAAGCTCTCCAACAGTTCTTTGGCATGTTTATCACTTTTCTGAAGTAAATGCTGCCATTCCTCATAGTATGCATAACCATCTGAAATAAGATTAAACATTTCAACATTTCAGTCTGCAAATTACCAATCAAATGAATAAGCTTTTATAAAAAAAAATTAAAGCTCCGAGTTCATTATCTGCACAATTGGTTCACCATGAGTTTAGGTTTCTCAGATTGGTTGAGGGAGCAGTCTGCCCATGGATCATGTAATATTTTTATTAACGTTATTTGCCAGAGGCAAAGTAATTATTGCTGAATATTCCCTATGACAAAGTCAAGGAAATATTGAACCACATTCCATGAGCTTAAGGCAAATAGTTGTTTTAGTAATATTTTTCAGTTTATTATAGGGACAATCCTCAACCATAAGGGCATGGGCATCACTATAATCACCTCAGCAATTGTATTTAACACTTTAACTCCTATGAGTGACCAAGAAAGAATTTCTCCCAACAATATCCATGTAATTTCAAGCAAACAAGTGATGAGAATAAAGAGAAATATCAATTAGGGGATTATCAGTTGATCCAGTAACAAATTCTCAGAACTAAAATCATAAGAATTGTACAGCAGTCAGTATAGAGAATTACTTATGAGATCTTAGGAGTGAAAGGGTTGAAAGAAAAAAACCATGCAAGTGTATTCCCAAACTGTAATTTAAAAATCAAAGGGTTTTTCAAGGTTAAGAATGTTACTCAATCAAATTCAAGGAACAAGACCAAAAGGTAATTTCAAGACTATCAAGGCCACTGAAAAGGTTGAAGGGTTTTCTAGACAGATGAGAATGCTGTAAGAAAAACTGCCCATATCTGAACATTAGGCTTACTTAGGACTCTTTGGTAGCCAGTTATAAAAAAAGAATGCAAACCAGAACTTTAAAAGTGACAGTAGTATAACTAGGGATTGGACTGATATTTATATTTGAATCAAAACCAACCTTTGCAAGGCCTAGAGGTTTTGGGTTATTATTTTTGCAAAATTTAAGTGCATAAAACCAACAGTGTGTGTATATACAATATCTGCAAGACTATCACATACACCTCTCAACTGTTGAGTTATTTGTAATCCGTGCGATGATAGCCACACAAATTACATAAAAACTCCATTACATCATGCTTGACAGCCAAATAATCATAACATTTTACAATTACCTTCATTGAACCATTGTCTTCTATAACTAAGGTCTAGTTCCATGTACAGGGGTACTTACAGGTTTAGTTCTACTTACAGGGGTAGGGAGCAGCTGGAATTGTTGGAGGCTCCTGTGCGTGGATTATAAATAACTTGTCAGTTTTTTTGTTAGAGAGATTTTTGACATACCCTGTGTAGAGAGAGGCAAAATAAAATAAGAGAACAAAATGTTAAAGGCTGAAAATTTTGCTCTAATGATTATTTTAACAATGAGCAAGAAATCATGGAGTACACACTTTATAAGGATAACATATTCCCAAGTGATGACATCTCCTTAGTGCATGAAAAAGTTCTTGCTTGAAATGGAAGCTAATTGCTTAAGAGAAAAATAAATGGATTAAGCCAAGTATGGCATATAGATCAAATACTTATTATTGTGAAGCAAATGTAAACAACATCTTTACCCTGGATCACATAATATACATTAACTACTGGGTGTTACCATCCATTCTTTATTTAAATCCATTCAGTGTATGTAGGGGTCCTAAATTTGACGACAAGGTAGCACAATTCTCATGACTTTTTTTTTACATCTAGGGCAAACTTGTCTGGAAAATTTGAGAAAGTTTCATCATTTAACAAACTAGCCACAGAAACCATTTGAAGAATTGGATTTTGTTTGATTCAGATGAAGAGATGGTTCATTAGATATCACTGAGGTGTTTGTACAGCTCTTTTTCTCTCTAAATAAAATAGTCACCACTAAGTATGTTACAACGAAAAATGAATCAAGAAAATGCGAGAGATTGACTGTTAAATGCCTAGTAATGATGAGAAATCCGCTAGACGTGACAGGCTTCATGTTTCTGACAGTTCACGAGAAGTCACATGACAATTACCAAAGTACCTGTAATCCTCTACTCAAGAAAATTAGTAATAAAATTTGTAGCGTACTACTTGTTAAGTGAATCTCTGTTCTAGAACACAACGAGCTCAAATGACTCCGGTCCACCTCAAAACTATTTATATGATTTTATTCCGAGCATTCGAACTCTCTCCGAATCCCTGCGGCTCCTACAAATTGTATTTCCATCGCGAAATTAATGTATTCAGTTACACATGATTAACTGTGGGGAAGTACGTGAATCCTGACACGACCCAAAAGATGATTGATTCTTTTCACATCCAGATCTCAAAACGTTTGCCAGATAGATATCCTTAAAAAAACAACTCATACTCTGCGGCTTTTTCCGATCAAAAATACTGCACAACCCTCGACCAGCTTGAACCTGACCTGAATAATTATGGTTCGACCGAAAAAGTCATCTCGAAATAATTTACTTACATTCAAGAGCTCGCTCGCAGTGTTCACTTCCGTCTACACCCAAAACTATCTTTCTCACGTTTTCTTCACTCCCAGCCATTGCTTATTATGGAGAACAAATAGCGTGATAAGAATTTACAGAACGAGGTCAGTTCATCAGCGAGTGAGTCGACTTGATGATGGTGTGAGACACTGGGTCAGGACTAAAGAGAACTGACCAATCACGTGTCCTCTTCTGTCTGAGGCTCTGACGTGTCACGCAACTGAGAATGTCAGCTAAATTATGAAAGGCTAGCTCTCGCCTAGTGATTTCTCTTTCTACCGCTACAATTTCTCATTCTCAGTACTTATTTCTCGCTATATTGCTATATCAGTCTTTTTCTAGATTAATGTTTTTTCATTCTTGATGGGTAATTTAAATCTCGCATAAGAGTTTTTCATTCTCGTATGGTGATTTCTATTTTCCCAATGTTTGGTCGACAGGTAATTTTTGAACTCAACCCACTTTTGTCATGTTTGGCTTGCGATAGAAGTCAATTTACCACTGGTGGCGTGTTGACTCTGTTCTTCGTGGTGGTGGCGAGTTGACCAGATACCAATTAAATTGATTGACAGGAGAGTAGCGAAAGCAACTCAAGCAGGTCAGGAGAAAGTAACAACGTTTTAATCCTGAAAAAGAAAACAACACCTAACAAAGCAAACTGGTTCAAAGCCGGCCTCCAAAAACAGCTATGGCAAAAGTACTGAAATGTAGAAACCGGATTCCCTGAACAAAATCCCTTAGGAGTTCCTACGAAAGACAGGGGTTAAATTACAAGCGTGATGGTCTTCGTATACTGGTTACTGCTATTAAGAGAATTCTAACTGAGAAAGAGTACAAAAAATCAACTATTTCCGACTAAAAGTTTAGCTCGGAACAAATTATTGTGACAAAACCCCGACGACTGCGGTAACAACACGAAGGCATGCGGCCGCACCAGTGAACCACAAATACGGCTTGGTAGAAAAGAGAGTCAAATTTTTGCGTGTACATAATTAACAAGTAATCACATGAATTTTTCTCGTGGAATTTGGGATAAATCAGGGCTTCTAAATTCTCAAGCCTTTGAGATATTTTTGTGATTTTGGGCGGGAAGTAAGGCGCGCGGGGGGTTGAAATTAATCCTTATGCGCACGCCCTTAGATCGACCGCTGTGCTTATATTTAATGGTCACTTCAAGTCAGGTGTCAAAATTGTAGTAACCTTGAAACCGTTAGGTCGTAATTACCTGCACTAGTCGAGCAAAGCATCGGAAGTTACACCCGGAGAGTTTTGCGTCAAGGGCAACTTTGGTAAGTTTTTTATTTCAGAGATTTCAGAGCTGATTCGCCCCGGTAATTTTGGGTCCATGTTGTTTTCTCCTTCCATTGTGTCTAAATTTGGCAAAGGAACAGTCTTGAGCTAAAATTAGTCACGTTTCAGATTCTTTTTGTTAAGATCACTCCATGTAGGGGATGGTTGGTTTTTCCATAGCGGTAGAGGCATATAAGATTGCCGAGATTGACTCAGCAAAAATTATCAATTATCGAAGTATGGATGCGCGCGGGAAGCTTGGAGAGTACGAGAGAAACACTAGAGTTTCCCGCGGCGTAGTTGACGATCTCCAGAGGCCCAGCTAAGACCGTGATCAAACTCCTTCTCAACACAGTAGGATTTTTGGGTTTTGGCCCACGGTTGGATCGGGTTTTCACTGTAAACTTGATGTCTGTTACAGTTTGTGGTTTTCTCACATTTGGTTTGCCCCGTGGTTTTCTTTTTTTCTTATATGGTTTCGGGTTCCCTTGGTCAATTATGCGGCACAATTACGGGAACGTGCAGAGACTGTGGGATAAAGACCTCTTAAATACAGTGCTTTCAAATAACACCCGGCACTTGTTGGAGCTCCGGCGGGTATTCTGTTGTGAATCGCCGGGTAGACTTTGCCACGTCCAAGTCAAATTTACAGAACAAAAATCAAGTAATCAATCCAGTTATTTTTTAACTCTTTAGTCTTTGTTTGTTAGATTCATTCTTTCGCTAGCAGTTTTCTTTCTCTGCTTGTTTCGCGTGTTCTATAAGAGTTAATCAGGTTCGGAGAAGAAGTACACATCGTTGGTTACCTAAATAATTTTCAAACAAATTTGTGCTGAACTAAAATCAATAAATACTTTTAGATAACTAAAACAACAGCAGTTCTTCTCAGCTGCTGGTTAGAAAACAAACTTGGAAATTAAAACTAGTTAAAACAGCTTGCTTGTTGATGGCACGCACAAATCAAATTTGAAATTTTCTGCAAAGATGCTGACCTTGCTAAATTGGCTGTGAAGAGAACTACAAATAGGCTATTAAACACTCAGCGTCTAAAAACACCAGTCGTGGGAACAGCTAAAATTCATTGGCTGATTGATATAATTCAATTATCTTATGTAAATATTTCAATGAACAATTCTGCAGAAGAGAATAATCCTGAGGTTTTTCCAGGAAATAAAACTGGTGGAATTCACTGCCGCAAATCTTTAATTTCACCCAAAAAACAAACAAACAAACAAACAAACAAGAGAACTTTCATCGTTCGAAGCAGGAGGCTGAGGGGTTTGTTTCCAATTGCAAACAGAAGAAAGCTTTAAACAAAGATCACGCGAAGAAAGGCTTGGATCGTGGCCCCAAACTTTGGAAACATGCAGACGGAAATTTGATGCACATAGAATATTATCTAGTTTTATTTTTATTGACTACCTGTTGAAAGTGTCTAGTATTATGCGATGTTGGATGGTTAACACCAATCTGGATCTTTCTGTGACTTTTTGAAAGCTGAAATGAGACCTCGAACACCTGGAGGTCTTTTAGATTTCTTTCAAGCGTCTAAAATTTTATATGAAGAAAGCTGCATTTGCTGAAAAAACCTTTTACCAAGGTTTAAGTTAAAATACTGTAGATATTTTCTCATACTGTAAACCAAATTTCTAGGATAAATAAGGGATTTTGAGTTTACTAAAACATACTGGCTAAAATTTAAGTAACCAGTAACCACATGTCCTTTCAGAGGACTTCTTGTGTGAAACTCAGGCAACAGGTTTGCAACTCAGCAAATGGAAGATTTTGATTAGAAATAAACAATCAGTTAAACAAATGTTACAAAGGAGGAGATTAATATTAAATGATCATTTACCAAAGTTTGCTACAGAAAACTCTGTTTGAAGCAATTTAACTCTAATGGAACTAATGGGCTAACCCCAGCATTAAAGAGCGATGTGGCACATGTTACTCTAAGACAATGGGCGGTTTTCTTTCTAATTCCTGCAACTGAACACATGTTTGGCAAAATTTAATTCAAAGTATTAATTCCAACTGGATCATTTTCAAACCCTAAACGATTCTTCTTGGGCCTAAAGTAAAATGCTTTGTCCATTTTACAAGGAAAATCACAAAAACCCAAATACAGTGGATAAACTTCAACCAAACAACGAGCACGAGTTTGACCCCTTTCATGAAAAATATGCGTCACAGCACGAGGAACGTACTTGAGATCACAAATACTGCCATGGAAACTCTTTGAGCTGTTTTCTTCAAATTTAAGACAATCATCGCTTACCCTTATATTTCTTACAGTAATATTCCTATGTTCCCCTCCACGTAAACCAAACGGCTTCCCATTATAGAAATATGCTGTATTTAATAACGAATCAGAAGAACCAGTTCCCATTAAGCCTTTGCTTCAGAACAAATCTTCTTCTTTGTCTGTGATGGCTTCTTTCTCAACCTTCTTTGTTGAAACAGTAAGGCCGCATCGAGTTGCATCTTTCATCTCAGTGTCCAAAACTCGGCGAAATGTCCCAAACCTGTGGGAAGGAACAGCATGACTTACAAAAAAGTAAATTGTGAATAACAAATTAATTCTTTCAACGGTACCTTTTGTTGCTGACAGCCAATGGATTTAATGTGCCCTCGCCATTTTTCTCCACCAAGAAACATTTTAAGCCGCAGACAATATTGTGAAGCGTCCTAGAGGGATATCGTCCACCCGACTTATTTGCAACCTCCTGAACGAACTTGCATAGCCAGTAGTTTAGACTTTTGGCATTCATGTTTTCAATGCTTTCAGTCAACTGTTGCACATCCAAACCAATGTCTTTGCCTTTGAACACTCCGCCTGGCTCAATAGTGCAAATCTTGTTTGCTCTTTGGCCTTGCCATTCTCGAAAAATCTGTATCGCCCATTTGTTCTTGTAAACCGTAGATTTCGGAACAGAATTTACAGTTGATAATAGACCAAGCCTTTGTACAGGAATGAGGCTTGACCTTGTTATTATAAAAATATGGCTGCTTTTCAAATGCAAATTACTTTGTTACTGTCACTAGAAACTGGTCTCTATCACAACAAGGTCACCTTCAGTAAAATCAAAGGCTGATAAACTGTAATAATAGCCACCTTTTCTTCGTTAGAACTTTTGGGAATCCGAAACCTTGAACTTGACTCATCCATTCTCAACAGTAAACCATTTTTAACTCCCAAATGGAGTTCTATAGCTATTGTTTACAAACAATAATAATTGGCAACTCGTTTAAGAAGCTATTTACCAAAAACTCGTGCTTCGTGTTTCATCAGGGGTTCCAAACACCTTGAAACAATAAAAGCACTCGGCCTGCTGCCTTGTGCTTTCATCTATTTCTCAGTGTTTGGAACCCCTGATGAAACACTCGCACTCGCTTTTGATATATTACCTCCGGAATGTGCTTTACCAAGGTAGCCAGCTACTTCAAATCTTATTGAAAGCACTGAAATAATCTCTTGAAGCAGGTAAAATGTGCAACAAATAAAAAATAGGCATTCTAGACTGCATGTGGCCACTGCATTGGTCAGAGTGGTATTGCAGAACGTTATGCACATATGTGAGGGTCTTTTGTCTTAAATGATAGAATGAAGTCATAAACAAAGTTATATACAACAGGAGAAAGGTGTAGTGCAAGTCAATCTTTTTTGAGGGGGGGTAGAAATGAAAATATGGCAATGAATTGAAAACAAGAATCTTTGATAAAGTAACAGTATAACTTTATCTTTTCACTGGAACATAAGGAAAAGACATTAAACCAGAACCTTGTTATTTTATGTGGACTTGATAATAATCTTATTATTTTTGTTTTGAGCTAGTGTATTATACTAGTTTCTTACA